TCTTAAAAAGCAGAGACATCACCTTGCCGACAAAGGTCCGTATAGTTAAAGCTATGGTTTTCCCGGTAGTGATGTATGGAAGTGAAAGCTGGACCATAAAGAAGGCTGATCACTGAAGAATTGATGCTTTTGAATTATGGTGCTGGAGGAGACTCTGGAGAGTCCCATGGACTGCAAGAAGATAAAACCTATCCATTCTTAAGGAAATCAGCCCTGAGTGCTCATGGGAAGGACAGATCGTGAAGCTGAGGCTCCAATACTTTGGCCATCTCATGAGAAGAGAAGACTCCCTGGAAAAGACCCTGATGTTGGGAAAGATGGAGGGCACAAGGAGAAGGGGATGGCAGAGGACGAGATGGTTGGACAGTGTTCTCGAAGCTACCAGTGTGAGTTTGACCAAACTGCGGGAGGCAGTGGAAGACAGGAGTGCCTGGCGTGCTCTGGTCCAGGGGGTCACGAAGAGTCGGAAACGACTAAACGACTAAACAACAACAACAGCCTGTCTTTCCTCTCAAGGAGCTCCAGGCGAGGTGTGTGGTTTTTCTTTCCTTTTCCTCTGTTACAACCATCTTGTGAGGTAGGCTAAACCCACAGAGAGTGGCTTCAATGGATTCTTTTTTAAAAAATGATTTTCAGTTTGATACATTTCCATAATTTTACAGTCATTTGAACATTTCAAAGCTTGACTTCATTCCCCCTCTTTCTGCAGTTCCTTAAATTTATTTTTCATGTTTTCAGCATATCCAAATTAACTTAATTTGTTCATTTATTCATCTGCTTTAAATATTTACTCTTATGAAACTGCAGGTTATTACAATAATCCTGCCAATGTTCTTATCTGTTTACAGTTTGTAAATATTCAGTAAACCATTTCTATTCTTTTGTAAAAAGTTTGTTAGCTTGATTTCTAATTTTCCTGCTAAGTTTTGCAGTTTCCGCATATCCCTTTTTAAAAAAAATAATCTTTATTGATTTAAAATATCATCTTACAAATGTATTATAAAATGGTTACAACAAAATTAAACACGAAGTTAAAAAGAGAAAGAATAAAGAGAATAAAAATAAAAAGAACAAAAGAGAATTAACAATAAGAAAAGAATATCAGTTATAGCATCCTGTCTTGTAGGTGTTGTTTCGCATTTCCAGCTTCTTGCTACCAGTATTCTTGCAGCTGTAATTAAGTACATAAGCAGTGGTCTTGTATTTTGCTTTATTTCTGTTGGCAGTATTCCTAGAAGGAAAATATCCGGTCCTTTTTTAAAAGTAAATTTAAATAATTTCTTAAATTCATCATATATGTTATTCCAAAACTCACTTATAACCATACCAGTACGCTACATATGGTAGTAAGATCCTATCTCATTTTTACAACGCCAACTTTATAAAAAGTTTGTTACCTTGATTTCTAATTTTTCTGGTAAGTTTTGCAGTTTCTGCATATTCCAAAAGTTTTTGAATCCATTCTTCTTTCACTGGGACTTCTTTCCATTCTTGGGCAAGTAACATTCTAGCCACTGCAGACGCAAACTTGAATACATTTCTGTACAGTTTGGATAGTTCTGTCCCTATAATTCCCAAAAGCAAAGTTTCTGGTTGTTGTTATTTACAAACATTATTTTAAACACCTTTTTCAATTCATTATATATCAATTCCCAGTAAGCTTTAACCTTACTACAAGACCACCATATATGATAAAAAGAACCTTCTTTACATTTCCAACATTTACAGTATTTGATTTAGATTTATACATTTTTGCCAGTTTACTTGGTGGTAGGTACTGTTATAAGAAAAGCTGTTCCTTTCCCTTATGGGGTATCCAAGAGCCTGTATAGAGTCCTTAATTGGGTTCCCTGTTGGTAGGAGAAAATAACAGGCCAACCAGAGAATGTTGAGAAGCAAAGCAGCTGGTAACCCTGATCTTTATTAAACTGTTGCAAAAGGGTCCTCGCTCACCACATGCAGGAGAGAGGGGGAATCCAGAACAATGGTGCACAAGCCCTTATATAGACTTTTTAAATTGCCAACCCTGTAGCTCAAGACTACTCCCAAAAACATCATACATACATCACAGAAGGAGGCAGGTCTACAGCAGAAATACATCACAGGAGGCTGTCTACAGCAGAAATCCTGTCTGCCAGGATACCTGACAGTGGTCACTGATTGCTTTACCTGGGCAGCGCTGTCATTCTTCTGTGATGGTAAATACTTTAATTCCTGAATCCAGGCCACAGGCTCACCCTATTCATACACAAATATGCCCTTAAGACAGGTAAGCAAAAGACAATGAAGAGGCTTTTCCATTTCCTTCCTCCTTGCCGAGAAATATTTGAGAGGGTCAGAATGGTTTGGGAGAGTCAAAATGACTTCAGGATTGCTCTCCTGTACTATTTCAGACACGTGGTTTATATACTTATGTATGTGTTTCCCTTGTACATTTATGAACGTTTATTTTATATTTGGGACTATAGAATTCTTATAACAGTACCATTGATATATCATTTTCATATAATTTTAATGCTGTAAATTTTCTATCCATATTCCTCAATGGGTTTCATGAGTGAGTCCAGGCTGGAGAGGCTAATGCGCCAACCTTTTTTCTTTCTTTTTTAAAAATGCAATGCCTTTGGGATATTTCAAGCAGCTGCTTTGGTTTTGCTATTGAGGATGGATATTGAGGATGAGGCAGGATGTCAGCCTAGATGGACCCTTGATTTGCAATTTACTTGCATTTTTTAAAAAGAAAAAGAAAAAAGAATTTTTATTGCAGAGTTTTCCAAACTTTTCATGCAGGTAGCGCGCTTTTTAGACATGCAACATTTTGTGACGCAGTAATTCCATTTTACTAGCAAAGCAGAGGTGAAACTATCCCCTTTCCAGTAGATGCTAAAGTGTCACAACACAAAGTTTGGAAAGTTCTGCTTTATTGTTCTGTTATGAGAGGAGTAGCACAAGTTAGGTAGAGACCTTCCCTGATAAAGGGGACAACAATAAACGAGAACACACTAGTAAAGTGGACTTAACGCAAACATGCAATGCAGCTTCCCATAGCTGTCATGAAAAGAACATGCTGTGAGATGCACCAGTCTCGTCGTTGGATGCTAATCCTAGCTATTGCACTGCACATGTCTCCTTACAGAGTTTCTGCTCTCTGACACAAAGGCAGTACACCAATGTACTAATGTACTATTACTATTATTATTATTATTATTCCCCCCCCGACAGGGACTCAGGGTGGTTTTCAGATAATGTAAGAATAGCTAAAACATGGGGGCACCTATAATTAAAAACAATCAAACATTAATAGAATTAAAACTCTCTCTCTGCAGGAAAGATCTATTAAAAACATACAGACAATCGCACCCAAAACAGCAGGGCACCAGCCCTTTTGTTAAAAATGGTCAGTTCTTAAAAGCCTGTGGAAAGACAACAAGGGGGGGAACCAGTTCAGCTTCTCTAGGGAAGGAGTTCCCAAGTTGTATTGGAGCAAAAAAGGTAAAAAGTTGACTCTGGGGTGTGGTGCTCATCTCGCTTTCAGGCCAAGGGAGTCGGCGTTTGTCCGCAGACAGCTTTCCAGGTCATGTGGCCAACATAACTAAACCACTTCTGGCACAACGGGACACCGTGACAGAAACTAGAGCACACGGAAACGCCATCTACTTTCCTGCTGCAGTGCTATCTATTTATCTACTTGCACTGGCATGCTTTCAGACTGCCAGGTTGGCAGGAGCTGGGACAGAGCCACGGGAGCTCACCCCATCGCAGGGATTCAAACCGCTGACCTGATCGGCAAGCCCAAGAGGCTCAGTGGTTTAGACCACAGCGCCACCCTTGTCTTGGAGCAGCTACCACCAAGAAGGCCCTCTCCCGCGTCCCCGCTAAGTGTCCCTGCGAGGGTGGCGAGACCGGGAGAAGGGCCGTCCCCCGAAGATCACAAAGCCTAGGGAGGTTTCGGGAATGCAGTCTTTCAGATAGCTAGCACCTAAGCTGCGTAGGGCTTTATAGCTAATGACCAGCACTTTGAATTGTGACCCTGAATGTCAGCTGCTGGGGATTATGGTTGGGAAGAGTGCTGTTGAGCTCAGTTCCTGCTTCAGAGGCTTCTCATGGGGTTTTTGTTGGCTACTGTGAGAGCAGGACAGTGGATTAACTGGGCCTTTGGCATGGGCATAGCCAGGGGGCAGGGAGGGGCATCTGCCCCCCCCATAATCAATAAAAATACATAGTGAACTGAGGTTCTCCCCACCCCCAACTAAAATCCTGGCTATGCCCATGACCCTTTGGTCAAATCCAGTGGTTCTGTTCTTCTAATATATTATCTAAAACATTTCTCTGAATCCTTTTCAAAACATTCGATTCCATGGCAAACTCCCAGGGTTTGTTCAGCAGAAAGCTCAATGTGGAAACTGCCCCCCAGAAGCAGAAAATGAGAACTGCTGTTCTGGATTTAGCATCCTCATATCAGCTCAGGTAGATTGGGACCACAAATGGTGCATTACAAATTTAAATTTAAACCGACAAGGTGAGAATTATATTTGTTGCACCTGGAACTGATAGGATGCCAAAAACTCGGCTAATGAACACTTTGCCACTTGCTTTCCTAAAAGAAGAAGCTTTAACTTCTTAAACCGCTGCATATTGGACGGCTAAAAAGGGAAAAAGCCACTACGAAGAAAAGGTTGGGGAGAGAGCTTGTTTATTAAATGCTGTGCTCTGCCTTAGCTATAGGTTTACTCATCCGCATTTTTAGGCTATAAAGCCCAACTTCCTTGTACTTCATGTTTTCTTTAGTGCAACAGTGTTATTCCTCATTTCCCCTTCTTTAGGCATGAATTGTAGTCTAGTTTCCTTGACAGACCCAAAGTTTACAAGAGTGCTTTAAATGCTACCTTAATCTGGGTTTCCATCTCTTCAGCCACCTCTGGGTCCTTGGGTCATTTCAGTTGTTACTTGGGCTGTAGGCAGTAGTAGATAAGCTTTTGGCAGCCCAGAAATAAGAATGATCACCTGAGAATTGATGAAGATAAAATATAAGTTAATGGAACACCTGTAAGGGCTTAGTTTAATGGTGTGTAACCTCAGTGCTATAATCCTATAGACTGAGGGTATAATCTGACCTAGAACGTTTATCTGGGTGCAAACTCCATTTAACCCAATGGGATTTCCTTCTGAGCAGACATATAGGTTTGTGGTATGAACTACTTGTAGCTTGCTAGGGGTGGAAAAACCCGAGCAAAATCAAGCTTTATGGCTTTTTTCATACATGCAGACGGAGATTACAAATGTTGTTGCTGCTTCCACCCACTCCCCAGTATCAGACGGACGCTCACATAAACAGCATTAGATAAGACAGGAGGGCAGTTTCATGAGTTTTGTATGGAAATAGGCCACTAGATGGTGCCTAGCATGGAATGTGTATAGACTTGTGAAATGCTGGTTCCCAGTTTAGTGCTTAGGAACTTTGTTTTCGGAGTTTTGTCTTGTTTCACATCTTAATCTGTGGTTCTTCTAAATAATAATACAATTATAAAACATAATAATGACGCTGCAGAGGCAACAGGAAGGACTGTATTCAAATGTTCCTGATGTTTGAATGCTTTTAAAGAATTTTTTTTTCTAAGTAGGGCACGTAGGATTAAACTTTCAGTGAACCCCTCTTGAAACCTTATCTTGGTTTGTCAGCACTGTTGTGATTGTGCCCTTACTCCTTTATAGCTGCAATGAAGGAAACACTGGTTCCTTATCAACAAGGTAGACTCTGTTCCTCAACACTCGCTCACATCCTTCCAGACAGAACGAAGAAGAAACTAAGCTATTCATACTACAGCTGCAAGATTCTAAAACGGGTAAATATGAAACCAAGAAGCACACCCCAGCATGCATGATGGAGGGTTTACTTGACGTTTTTATTCAGGTGTCAAATTCAGTTACGTATCTCTTTTTTATATATACAGTGGTACCTTGGTTTACAAACTTAATCCGTTCCAGAAGTCCATTCTTAAACCAAAGCGTTCTTAAACCAAGGTGTGCTTTCCCATAGCAGTGGGGGACCCAATTTACAAATGGAACACATTCAACAGGAAGCGGAACATGTTCTGCTTCCAAGGCAAAGTTCACAAACCAAAACACCTACTTCTGGGTTTGCAGCATTCTTAATCCAAGTTGTTCATAAACTAAGCTGTTCTTAAACCAAGGTACCACTGTATATATATATAAATTTATTTGGTTTTTCAAATTAAAGTTTTACAATCACATATCCAACATAACACAAAAACAACAAAAAAAGTATTTATTTAAGTAGTTGAGGTTTTTTTCAGAACATCGCCCTAGTTGCCATGCGTCCAGGTTTTCCAATTCGGCAAAATTCCGCCCAGACTCCATTTTGACAGTCAGATTCCCAGACATGTCCTGGAGAAACAGGGACGTATGGCAGCCCTGCGATAATAGAGCTTGAGTCTTTCTGATGTTCAGTTACAAACGTCAAAAAAGTATTATCATGCTAAAAAAACTAGAGGCGTTCATATCAGTTAAGGACTGATTCTTGGGGTTTACTTCTAAAGCCTGTGATCCATTTGCACAGGCTGTGTGACCCACAGATTAGGAAATGCTACTAAACAAAACCCTTCTATTGTAGGCAGAATCCGAGACCAGGGAGAAGAGTTGGTGGAGGAAGATTGGAAGAAATTTAAAGATTATTTACAGAAACATTGTAAAATTAATGAATGTTAGAATGATGTTGGAATGAATCTAGGTGATTTTAGCAAAAATGTATCAAAGATTTAAGAAAAATAGACTGTTAATTGGTGAAAAGAGGGAAAGTAAACTTATATCAAGATTAAGATAAATTTTCAGGATAAAAATTTTGAAGAGAGGGAAAGGATTTGCTGAAATGGATAATTGACTTAGAATACAAAAAAGGGAGGTGTGAGGAGGTCAGGGAAACAAGCAAATGAAAGATAAGTTATGGGAAGGTTCGATTTGTTTTTTTTCTTTTTTCTTCTGTTTTTAATTGTTATTATCTTTCTGTTTTTTTATTGTGATGTGTTGGTTTTGTTATTGTTCAATTTGGTGTTTTTTCTTTTGCCTTTTTGTCAACTTAAAACTTTAATAAATACTATTTAAAAAAAACCCCTTCTATTGTAGTAATAATAATAATAATAATAATAATGCTTTTGAACATAGCCTAGCCAAGATTTATTTTAGGGGGGGTCAGAACCGAGTGAGACCACGATGCTGCTGTAGGTGGGCCACTGGCCTGATCCAGCTCTTATGAAGAGCCTTCCTTCGATCCAGCCCTCCAGGATCGGGGTGAACATTGTTCTAAGAATTCAAAGGTCTCAAATATAGAACAAATATTCATAAACGCACACGTATCTAAATATATGAACCCAGTGCTCTTTTTCCTTTAAAAAAAAATGTTTAGGGGTACTCTCATTTTCCTACTCATATTGAAATCTTGCCTCTCAATGAGGCCAAACTTAGATTCACAAAATGTTTAGGGGTATGCGTCCCCCCCCAGAAAAAAGCACGGTATGAACCATGTGTCTGAAATACGGGAGCTTAGGTGCCCCCCCCCCTTGCACAGCCATAACAAATGATACCTGCAATAGCCCCCAAATTAGCATCCATTAAAGGAAAATCCCCCTTGCCATCCTAGACTATTAAATGCAATCTCCCTAACAGAGGAAGGTTGCCCAGTCACTGTAGCATTATTTTAGTGCATTAATGCCAGGCTCTCTGGTACTTTTATCTGCTGCTAACCGCTTCCTCCACCACCTCCTTTCTTTCAGGCACATAAAATCAGGTCCTGAGCATTCTTTTAGTATGAGGCGAGGGCAGCTAAAGTTCCATGTGAATTAAAAACGACTGCGCCAGCACTGGAAGGAAATCAAGAGCTCTTCCAGATTGTATCAGGACAGCCATTGCCTGGTAACACTTAACAAGTGAAAGCATCACATAGTTAAATTGCTATCATACTTGAGCCCTATAGGAAATGACTCAGCCTGCTTTTCTTCAAAAGAGGATTAAAAAAAAGAGTTCTGTGCAGCATCTTTGGAAGTGAGACATCAAAGATTAACACAAATCTGCCGCAGCATTGGCTTTTGCACACTACCGTCTACTTCAGACGTGCAATTACTGTTATTATTTCATGCATTCGCTTTTCATCATTGTGAAAGTCGCTTGCGCTGTCTATCGGTTTCATTGGTTTTGAAAGCTATGAATACAAATCCTGAGTCCTCGGGATAAGGAGAACTGAATTTTTTTTAAAAAGTTATACTGAACGTGTGCTGTTCTGCTATTTTTGCTTATTCACACCACCCCCAGAAATCTGCAGAGAAAGCCAAGATGTTCATGCCCCTGTAAACGTATGCCAGCACGTTAACCACTGAACAAAATGGTAGCAGCAAATACCGGTAGTTTGTGCTCCTCTAATCGAAACTCATTTGATGTGCGGGGAGGGAAACCCTTGTTTTGCTTTTAGACGTTTTAAAAAATGCAGATTTCCATACAAACGCAGTTCATTATCCCATAATGAAAGTTTGAAGTGGTTGCGGCTGGGAGTATGACGGCTCTGCAGTGTAATTCACTTTGAGTATTGCATGTTGGACATAGCTGTCAACCTTCCCTTTTTTTGTGGGAAATTCCCTTATTCCAGCGCCACTTCCCACTGCTATCCTGGATTGTTAGATATCCTGTAGACTGTCCCCGGGACAGGTGAGGCTGCTGATTCCTTATTTTCGAGGCTGCTGATACCTTATTTTCAAATCTGAAAGTTGACAGCTATGATGTTGGAGTCAGGGCAATGAAGAGAAAGTGCTTTACAAGAAGCCTGCAATGTAGTCTAGTACCCCTGTTGCAGGTTGGGCTGGAAGAGTCCTGAAGCAGTCCTGTAGCTTTATCCTGTGCTGCTATCCCTACACCGGTGGGGCTAAGAAAGTAACACATAACGCTGCTGTGTAGTCTTCTGTTTATATTCAGAAAGCTGTTTAGTCCGATTCAGACGAGCTGTTCTCCCGTTCTTAATACTCCCATTCTGCAGCTGTCATGAGAGTGGCTTGTGACCGCTGCCCCTGCAAATGTAGCTTATCTTTCTACCCTTGTTCCTTTGCATTTCATGAATCTCTGCATATTTTACAAAAGCTAAACCCTTCAGTATCCCATTATTACATCCATCAAAACTTATTTACACTGTTGAATTTATCTTAATGCTGCCAAAGTTTTCAAGTGTACACAGTTATTTCCCATGTATTCAATAAACGTTTTCCAATGTTCTCTAAACATATGCTCTTCTTGTTCTCTTATTCTATATGTTAAGTCTGCAAGCTGTGCATATCCCATCAGTTTAAGTTGTCATTCTTCTTTAGTTGGGACCTCACTCGTTTACCATTTTTGGGCTAATGAAACACAGGCCACAGTAGTGGCATACATAAACAACCTTTTTTGACACCTGGGAATTTCCGTCTGAATTATCCCCGGCAAAAAGGACTTTGGTGGTTTTTTTGAAAGATACTTTTAAAAGTCAAGAGCTTGAAAGTGGTAGAAGAGGGCTTTCAATGTATGGTGCGGTGGTTGTGATATAATTGGTGCTTTTTTCTGGGGGTACTCAAGGATATGCAGTACTGTACTGGAAACTTTTTCTCTAAAGAAAAGCACTGGATCGGGTAATGATGTGCATGCAATTACGAACCAACTGTAACTTTGTATGGTGCGAGGGCAAGATCACACTGTCGACCTCACAATAGCCTGCCACCTTCTTGCTGGAACAATGAAGCATGGGAGAATCAGATGCACCGGAAGAGCATCTCAGATAAGATGGCTTTAAAAGAGGATTAGACGATTCAATGGAGGTGAGAGCTATCAAAGGCTACTAGCCATGATGGCAACGCTCTGCCTCCACAGTGAGAGGCAGCTATGCTTCTCCAAAGTAGTTGTTGGAAGCCATAGGTGGGCAGAGGGCTCTGGTGCTTGAATCCTGCTTGCAAGCATCTGGGAAGCCCCAGAGGGAAAGGGATGCTGGAGCACATGGGCCATGGGCCTGATCCAGCAGGCTCTTCTTATGTGTTTCATAAGGACCCCCTCCTTCCTCCTGCCCCAGTCATCTGTCCTTCTTCTGGGCTCCAGTCTCTCCTGGGATGAGGACAGGACAACAGAGGCAGTTTCCAAAGCTAGGCTGCTGCTTTCCCTCGCTGCAAAGCAGAGACATCAGCAGGCGCCTGGCTCCAAGCCATGCTAGCACCAGTCTGGGGCATGATGATGGGGGACATGGGAAGGAAGCTTTCCTATGGGTCATTCAATGGATAGTTTCTCCTACCTTCTATCTTGGAGCTCTCCTTTAGTGCGGATGTAGCAGCCAAGTTCTGGCCCAAAGTCTGGCTGAGGAGGTGCCATACCCACACAAACAATGGGAAGTGGCGAAGAGGCACGAGGACAAAGATGCTTCTATGAGGATTCCTTCAGTGCCTTGGTAGGGCTGACCTGGGATCCAGAAAGGGAAACCAGGAACTGCACGGACGCCTTGGTTGCACTCTTGCCCATCAGCCTGGGAGCTGGAGACGCAGACCATTCTCCGGAAGTGTGCCCCTGTGAAGGAAGCAGGATATAGTATCCTCTTGGCATATGTGAGGAATGGATTCCCAGTGGAATTAACATGCCATTACTTCCAAAGGAAGTTTGGCTGACCAGCTTCTTGAGGAACAAGAGTCCCTCCTTTCTGATCTCATGCAGAAAGGTTTTTCTTCTTTCATTCTCCTTTTCTGCTCAACGTGTACCATGTCCTCCCCATGCCAAACAAATCTTTCATCCCTCTTACTTGTTCTTTTTATTCACTTCCTCCTCCTCCAGCAGCTTTTCTCTCTTAACCCTTTCCTTTCTATCCTAATTGTTGTTGTTGTTGTTTCTGGAATTTATATACAGTGGTACCTCGGGTTAAGTACTTAATTTGTTCCAGAGGTCCGTTCTTAACCTGAAACTGTTCTTAACCTGAAGCACCACTTTAGCTAATGGGGCCTCCTGCTGCCGCTACACCACCAGAGCATGATTTCTGTTCTCATCCTGAAGCAAAGTTCTTAACCTGAAGCACAATTTCTGGGTTAGCGGACTCTGTAACCTGAAGCGTATGTAACCCAAGGTACCACTGTATTGCCCTATACCCGCAGGTCTGAGGGCGGTTCCTGATTGTATGTGCTAATTCAAAGTGTTGGTGCTGACCTTTAGTGCACTAAACAGCCTCGTCCCAGTATACCTGAAGGAGCGTCTCCACCCATGTCGCTCAGCGTGGACACTGAGGTCCAGTTCCAAAGGCCTTCTGGTGGTTCCCTCACTGTGAGAAGTGAGGTTACAGGGAACCAGGCAGAGGGCCTTCTTGGTAGTGGTGCCCGCCCTGTGGAACGCCCTCCCACCAGATGTCAAGGAAATAAACAACTATCTGACTTTTAGAAGACATCTGAAGGCAGCCCTGTTTAGGGAAGTTTTTAATGTTTGAAGTTTTAGTGTTCTGTTGGGAGCCGCCCAGAGTGGATGGGGAAACCCAGCCAGATGGACGAGGAATAAATAATAATAATAATAATAATAATAATAATTAATAAACAATCATATTTTTGCCTTACTTTTTATTTCCTTCAAACCTTCCTCTGGCCCTTTCCTTAGTGGGTCCTCCAGGCCCTCTGGGAGAAAAACGGCAGCCGATGTTCAGATGAGGCAAGCCGTTTCATGTATTGTATGACTGCAACTTCAAGTAAAGTTGCACATGTGAATGGGGAAACCACAGACTGAACTCCATGGACAGAACGTCCTATCAGAAGCACATTCAGCTGTCTAAATTTAAACTCACAGACCCTGGCTTATGTCTTTCAGCAGGACTCAGGAACCCCCTTGGACCCTCAACCTTTCCCTGTTGCCTCCCCATGTCAAATTAAAGATTGTAAGCCCCTTGGGGCACGAACCTCTTTCTCAAGGGTTGCACACAGTGATGGTGCAAACAGATAATACAAAATAAATTTTGGAGGGGCCTTGAAACATGCCTTTAAATACCACATGGATCTCAGTGTTGACTATGGAAAAGGTGCTAAATTGTCGAGAAGGGACAAAAATATTGACAAGTTGGAGTCTCCCAGAGTGAAAGGAGCAGAAGACAAAGTAAAGTACAGGTATAAACATGAAGAAGACCTGCGGAAGGGACATGGAAAAGACTTAAGAGCCTCGGATATAAGGTCACCAGGTTGATGGACTAGATGAATGGGATAGAAAGGACTGACAAAACCCGAGACCAGGAGAAGAGACGATGGATAAAGATTGGAAGAAAGTTTTAAAAATTTATTTAGAAAAGTATCGCAAAATTAATGTGTATCAGAAAAATGTTGGAATGAAATTAATTGGCTTTAGCAGAAATGTTAAAAAGAATTATGTAAGAATATGTTATGGTTAAAAGAATTCAGTATAAATAAGATTTAAGTTTTAAGTTTTAAGGTTTTTTATGGTAAGATAAGGTTAAAATAGATCAAGGTAATTTTAATGACAGAATATTGTGAAAGATGGAAGGGATTTGCTGAGATAATTAACAACTAGAATACAAAAAAGGGAGGTGTGAGGAGGTCGATGAAATAAGTTCATGAAAGTTAAGGATTTGGGAATATTGGATTTGTTTTTAAACTTGTTGTATATTTTTGTTTTTTTATTGTGTTGCATTGTGTGTTTTGTTTTTTCTTTTTGATTTTGGTTTTCATTGATTTGTATTGTTTAATTGTTATTTTTATCTATTCTTTTCCTTCTTTTTCTCTTTTTCTTATTTTTTCCTTCTTTTTCCTTTGTAACTTTAAAATTCTCAATAAATATCATTTAAAAAAACAACAACAACAAAATAAATCTCAGTACGCTCCTGCCCTGGGCAAGCTAAATCCCACCAGAGGCCTTTCCCTTAAAACCATAGATAGTATACACACCATACCTTTTGGGGAAAGGCCCTGAGTTCCGCTTCCGCTTGGGTTGTGTGCCGAGCAAACGCGGGTGTGTTAACAGCTTTGCTCTTTGCTAGGCTGCACTGGGATCCAAAAGGGGCAACCAGGAACCATACGGATGGCTTGGTTGACCCCTTGCCCATCAGGTTGGGAGCTGGAGACGCGGACCATTCTCTGGAAACATGGCCCTGTGAAGGAAGCAGGATGTGATCTCCTGGCACATGTGAGGAATCGATTCCCAAAGGAATTAACAGGCCACAACTTCCAAAGAAAGCTTGGCTGACCAACTTCTTGAGGAGCTGGAGCGCTTCCTTTCTTGATCTCATGCAGAAAGGTACGCTCCCCATTCTCCTTTTACACTGTTTGACAGTGGAAAGGAATCTCTTAGAAGGCGGCGGACTCTCCTTCGCTGGAGGTTTTTAAGCAGAGGTTGGATGGCCTTGGATGATCTTGGTTGAGATTCCTGCATTGTAGAGATTCGGACTAGAAAGATGACCCTTGGGAAGAGATAGACATAACATTTTACTTTTTTAAATTATATCTTTATTAATTTAAAATAAATACATTTATGAAAAACAGACGTACATACAAAGTAAACAAACATACACTCAAACAAACAAATAACAGAAAAATCAAACAAACCACCACACTATAAGATATAAGAAGATTAATATAATTATATATACTTCTGGTATTGAACACAATTATAAAATTTATAGAAAAATTTAAAACTGACTTCCAATTAATCTCACTGTACTTTGTCTATCCATTACTTTATACCGCACAGTTACATATTTCTTATATAATTTCTTTTTACCTCCCTACAAACTTATATTTATGCAATACAGGGATCAGTCTAATTCTGCCAAGATGTTTCCTTTTATTCCATCGTTTTCTAAATATTCTTTAAAGATTCGCCAATCCTTATATACTTTTTGTAGACATAACATTTTACAAGGACGAGAAGAAACATCAAGGACAGAATAATTGCCACACACAGAAGTACAAGGATATAGTTTGAGTGCCTCACTTGTAGTTCTAAAAATCATTTAATGTGTCAACACGAATGGAAGTTATTAATATTGCAGTTGTTGTATAAAGGATTATTATTTTGACAGGAATGTAATTGAAATTAATTAGATTTTGGAACGCAGAAAAAAAGAAAACAATCAAACCATCAAATCTAGCCTGTGGGGGCCACCTATATTATTAGTAGTTGTATTATAATTTGGTATTGTTATAATGAGGCTATTCTTGGATGGTAATTGAAAATGAATAAAAATTATTATAAAAAAGAGAAACTTCAGTTTTATGATTCTATGATTTAAAGTGCCTCCGATGAGCATTTGCAGCACATGACTTCTCCCAAAGGATCCTGGGGATTGTAGTTTCCCTCTACAATTCCCAGAAACCCATAACAAACTACAGTTCCCAACATCATTTAGGGGGGGGAATATCTGCTTTTTAGAACATAGATGAGGAACCTGTGATGGGAGAAAGCAAGATCTTACAAGTCGCACTCAGAATGGTAAAAGGAAGGGTTTTAGTTCCACCTCCCTTTCATTGCATGCTTATGTTCAGGATCCCCCTTTGTATTTTTGTGTGGAAAATCGGGTAGTAATGGTAGTTATTATTAAGTATTTGTTTATACCCTGCCTTTCCCCCTGACGGAACGCAAGGGGGCTTACATATAAAAAAATTCAATTGCAGCAGTTCAACCAATGATATGGTTTGTGATGTTTGCCACAAGAACTGATATGGAGTAAACGTTAAACAAACTTAATCCCTCTTTAAGGGCAGCACAGATTCTCTAACCTACCCAGGGTAAATTTAGGTGTGGGGTTTCTGCCACCTCCTCTCACCTCGCCCTCCGGCTTTTAATCATTAACTTTAACATGCTACAGTTCCCAACATCATTTTTTGGGGGGAGGGGGAATATCTGCTTTTTAGAACATAGATGAGGAACATGCAATGGGAGGAGGCAAGAGCTTAAGTCAACTTGCTCGCCCCCGTTTCCTAGGAACCAGGAATGGGAAGCTCAAGGGCTTTTAACAGTATGATTACAGAGAGTAGGGTGCGTAAAATATTGCATGGATGTAATATGGAAAGGAAGGTAATTACTGTATATTAGAGGTGCCGAAATCGCAATGGTGCAAAAAAACAAATATAGAAATAGAAATACCATGTTAAAATGATAAGAGAATAACAATAACTATTTAAAAAAAAAAACCTGTGAAGAATAAGAAATAAACAGGGAGGGATAATATGCCAAAAAAAACAGAAAAGGAAGTTGAGGGAGGTCACGGGGGGGGGGGCGGTTGGGGATCTACACTTTATGTTGTTTTGTTGAAATAATGATTGTGATGATGATAAAATTGTAAAACCCAATAAAAAAATATTTTTAAAAAAGAAATCACAATGGAGCAGAAAAGATTATTTATGCATGTGACCACGGCTATGCGGATGTTATTGGCCCAGAGATGGAAAGAAGATAAAGTCCCAACCAGAGAAGAATGGCAGATTAAGTTGGTGGAGTATGCCAAAATGGCAAAAATGACCGAAAGAATCAGAAATCAGGAAGACCAAAATTTTAATAAGGAATGGGGAAAATTTATAATTTATCTTAAAAATCACTAAGCAGTTAAAATCATTAGTAGGATTGGAATAATACTTGTAGTTCAGTGGTGAATTTTGGATATAATGGAGATGTAAAAGATTTGGATTATTATAAAAGATGCAGGAGGAAATGACTAACAATAGGGTCCACAAAGGGGAGGAGGGGGAAGTCCAGTAGATTCTTTGGCATCTTGTTTTTATGATGTATGTTGGATTGCAAAACTTTAATTTGAAAAACCAAATAAATTTATAAAAAAGGAAGGTAATGATATTAGAATTATTAAGGGAATATTAATAAGGGAGGGAGAGGGAAAGAGGGAGCGTGGAATGTTGCTGGAGATTGGAAAAGGGGTTTGAATGTTGGCCATGAGACAGTTGGGTTTGAAAAGGGGTTTGAATGTTTAAAAGGAGTTTGAATGTTGGCGGTGAGGCAGTTGGGAGTCAGTTGAGAGCTGTTGGTTCAGTAGGGGGTGGTAGTTACATCTGAAGCAGGGTCAAGCTTAGGATCAGTTTAGGATCAGTAGTTTAATCCCCCCTGCTGTAGTTGTAATGGCAGGAGTCAGCAATTTTTTTCAGCAGGGCGCCGGTCCACTATCCCTCAGACCTTGTGGGGGGCCGGACTATATTTTGAAGGGGGGGGGTGAACAAATTCCTATGCCCCACAAATAACCCAGAGATGCATTTTAAATAAAAGCACACATTCTACTCATGTAAAAACACCAGGCAGGCTCCACAAATAACCCAGAGATGCATTTTAAATAAAAGCACACATTCTACTCATGTAAAAACACGCTGATTCCCAGACCATCCGCAGGCTGGATTGAGAAGGCGACTGGGCAGGATCCGAGCCTTAGTTTGTCTACCCATGTAATAAAGTAACAAGATGCAAGTCGTACCCAAGCCGTAATGCAACTATTGCTTGGGATTTTTTTTAAAACAGATTTTATCCACCTGCCTCACACTGGGCCACATCAGGGTGAAATATCGTGATCGATATCATCTGTGGTGGCATCAGGAATAAAAGGGGTTTAGGGAATGACCCGTCTCATAGGTGCACATCTTGTTAGGAGTACAATGGCAAGCGGTTGGTGGAGGGTCCTTTGTCCCAGCAAGTCTCCCTGCAGGAAATGTTAGGAAACCAGCTTTGCAACACTGCACCTCTTGCAACCGACTAGCAGGGGGAAGCTATAACCAGGCAGCCTGGGCCACTGAAGATGGTTACCTAGGTCCAGTCTTTGGGCTGTTTCTGTCTTGCTGTGCTTCTTCCCTGTCCCCCACTTTTTGAATCCACCCACCCCTGTGCCCCTGCCTGAAGATGGAGCGAGAGGAGCTCTCAGGGAACTTGGAAAGTTCCCTCGCGACTTTGCGCGACAGTTTTGTTGGGCCTAGTCAGGGAGGAATTGTCCTATTGTTTGTGATTTCTCCAGAATCCCCCACGCCCCCACAAAAAAGGTGCAGCGACCACATCTCTAGGAGGTGTTGGGGCCTTCAGGAGAAACGATGAGTTGTTGAAACAAAATGGCGTTCCACAAAATGGCTGAGTTGTTGGAACACAAAGGCGTACCACAAAATGGCTGAGTTGTTGGAACAAAATGGCGTTCCACAAAATGGCTGAGTTGTTGGAACAAAATGGCGTTCCACAAAATGGCTGAGTTGTTGGAACAAAATGGCTGAGTTGTTGGAACAAAATGGCGTTCCACAAAATGGCTGAGTTGTTGGAACACAATGGCGTACCACAAAATGGCGTTCCACAAAATGGCTGAGTTGTTGGAACAAAATGGCTGATTTGTTGGAAGAAAATGGAGTTCCAAAAAATGTTTGAGTTTTTTATTTTTTAAAAAATTAATTGCACGTTTATTCAAAATCCATTTAAAACTGTTTAGTTTAGGTAATGCAGGAAAATTTATCAGTTTGATCCAGTGACACCAGAGAGAGTCAAGATCTCAGGGCTGTCACATGGAAGATGGAGTGAGCTTTGAAAAGTTATTAGAAACAATTAAATTCATTTGCAGGATTATCTTAAAATTAAAAACTACCTTAAAACGTAAAAACGATTGACTAAGAAATAAAGAGGGAGTAAACAAAAAAATGGATTATTGAAGAGATGCAATAAGAAAAGTGTAACTGAAGGAACCACGAAGGGGATGGGGAGGGAAGTCAAATGGGATTTTTTTTGTATTGGATGTTTGTATGTCACAAAAATTTAAAAACTGAGAAATAAAATTATTATTATTATTATTATTATTATTATTATTATTATTATTATTATACCACCCTATACTCGGGGGTCTCAGGGCGGTTTACAGAATAAAATCAAGATATAAAACCACAAAATACCTAATAAAAATAAAAAACAACCCAGTACCCCCCCTCCCAACAAAAAAAACCTCACATTTTAAAAGGGCATAGGATGTAAATCGGATCAACCAAAGGCCTGGTGAAAAAGGAATGTTTTTGCCTGGTGCCTAAAGGTGTATAATGAAGGTGCCAGATGAACATCCCTGGGGAGAGCATTCCACAGATGGGGAGCCACTGCAGAGAAGGCCCTTTCTCTCTATATATATGTATATAAAAGAAAAACTAAACTAAAATCCTGGCTAAAAAATCTGGCGCATCAAGAGAAAGAGGGTCTTCAAAATAAAACGGGCATGGGGGGGAGGTGAGAGGTGAAATATTTGGGTATTTGGTTAAGAAATAAAAATGCAGCGCTGAATCCGAATAACTATGTTGA